TAAGAAACAAAAGAGACTTTTTATATATTTTTGGAAGAACTTTGATGCTGCTGCATTATAATTAATATTTTAAACACAGATTTCTTAAGTTTTCTGCTAGACTCTAAACATACATCTTAATTTCAAAGATAAGAAAGTATTCCTTACAATTAGCCTGACATTTTCTTCACCTTTTATCCTCTGCTTTCCACAATCTATTTCAAATTTTGGGTCTATATCTTTCTAGTCTCCAAAGACCGGGTAATTTATTGAAAAAACAATTGGAGACTTTGAAGGAATAAAAGATATACATTTAATATCTCTACTGACACTTTTTTTTAAGCCCGAAAGGTCTAGAAGGGCTACTAGTCTCGAAACTGCATTTTAGGTTGGTTCATTATAAATGTCTACTCCACTTTTCAAATTGTTGCCAACAAATATTTTTCCCCTGTATTATATTTAAAGAAATAAAATAATGAAGAATCTGCATAAATGTATGTATGTTTCTCGCATTATGAAAAAAAAAAAAAAAAAAAAAAAAAAAAAAAAAAAAAGTAACTAGAACCATCAAATTTTGAATAACATTGCCCTCCACCTAAATATGGGCACCTGGAAGCATGAATTTGCTTTATTGTCTATTTTATATTCTGTAAAACTTAAATGTTAGTTCAAATGCTCCCGAAGTGTAAATGAAAAAATGCCCCTTTGAGCGTAATATAAAATCCGAAAGCTTTGAATTTTTTTTTTTTTTTTTTTTTTTGAGAATTTTAGCAGGCTAAAATATATGACCGGTAGTTTTAATATATGGACTGCATAGCTCTGTAGATAAAAAGGTGGAATTTCTTCTTTAAATAAACAAATGAGTCAAAACACATTGGATTCAGGATGTCCGTGGGAAGCCATTTTGGCCATTCGCATCTTCGTGCGACTTTAATTAGCAAAGATGCTAATCAGGGTGAAAATTGCTGAAAAAAATCGGGAACTTATCGGCCGATTTCTTTGAAAATTTGCATTTTAAACCCACGAGATGATGAAACGACTGATTGCGTTGACTCCACTGATTTGCGAATTAGGAGCCTAATTAACAGGGTAATTAAAAACGCCCTAATAATCCTTTTTCTTTCCTTCCCATATCTTTGTGAACAGGCTGGGATTCGAAGGCGACGGGTTTTGAGGAGTTGCGGCTGTATCCTGTTTCCAGTTGGAATCGTCAAGGCCATTAGCAGGGGACGAAATTAACATAGTGAAGAATTTTTATTCATTATGCTAATTACTCATCTCATTTTCCAATCAATCTAGAACAAAGGGCATCCCTCATTTGTAATCTATCAGTTGTAAATTTCTAAATTTTGAGCCGATCGGATAATTGGTTCTCAAGATATGAAATTTTAGTGAATTTTTCTTAATTAGAGAAATTGAGCTGGAAAAATACATAAAAATACGTAACTCTTGAAAGAATTAACCGATTTCTTTCAAATTTTGAATTTTGCACTTCCTGGATGTTCTAATGAAGGTTGCCGTTGATTGTACACTGTTTTGCGAATTAGGAGGCTAATTAGCAAGGTCATTGAAAACACCCTAATACCTCTTTCTTTCCTTGGGAATTCTTTGTTCACAGCCTGGGATTCCAGGGAAATGCTGGCATCCGCAGGAGCTTGGGGGGGGTTAATGAAAAGGTCAAAGCTCAGGATTTACACGTGGAGAATCATTTAAAAATTAATAACTTTCCTTCTGATTAACTTAGCTACTTTAAATAAGTATCAACATTTAGACTTTTGTGATATATTTTCAGATGCAAATCCATTTTTCACTCAGTGCATCCATTTTTGCATATGCACACACAAATACATATATAATTGCATTAATATATATATTGTTGTAATTTTCAATTTAACAAATGTCTCTGTTCGCACAAAGCTAATATTAAATTAAATTTTAATTAAGAAATTTTAATTGCAAAAAATAAATATAAAAATAATTAAACTAATTATTTAAATTCAGACTAATTTTTCGTTCAGGGTTCTAAATTGAGTTTCTGTTCCATGTACATGGTATATGGAGAGTTTTCTTATTATAATTATGAATTATTAATTACATTAATATATATATTGATGCAATTTTGTGTGTAATTATGTTGAAGTTTATAAAAATGAATTTAAGTAAATTAATTTTAATAACGAGTCTACTGTTTGAATATCATACCCGAAAATTTTTGCAATTACACTTGGTACAAAGGCCCATTAGTGGCTGAGCAGTAAAGTCGCTGAACACTGGTAGTTTGGTCCAAATTTTGAATCCCAGGAAACGGGCTGGCTGCATGGGTGTTTTCGTGATTTTATGCATGTGTATCGTGTATAAACCGTCTTCTGGATGCATATGTGAATAAAGCGGGCTGAGCCCGCGGAAAACCGATGAACACTGGTAATTCGTTCCAACTTTCGAATCCTGGTGAGCGAGCTGGCTGTGATTTTATGCATGTGTATCGAGTCCGCAGTATCTTCTGCATGCATACATGAAAAAAGCGGGCGCAGCCCACAGAAAACTACTCAACATTGGTAGTTCGGTCCCACCTTCGAATCTGGGCGAGCGGGTTAGCAGCATGGGTGTTTTCGTGATTTTCTGCATGTGTATCGTGTGTAAAGTGTCTTTGGATCCATATGTGAGTAAAGCGGATGCAGCCCGAACAAAACCGATGAACACTGGTAGTTCGGTCCAACTTTCGATTCCGGCGAAAGGGCTGGCTCCATAGGTGTTTTCTTGCCTTTACGCATGTGTATCATTTATGCAGTATCTTCTGTATGCATATGTGAACAAAGCGGGTGCAGCCCGTGCAATTCGGTCCAACTTTCAAATACTGGTGAATTTTAACATGGGAATTCTTTTAAAAACGAACAATGAAAAGTGGGCTTCAGCCCGCTCAGCTGGCGGGCTTGCCTGCTAGCTGAGCTTATTGATAGTCTTTTCAAACAAATTGTCAACGATGGCCAATTATTTTGACTTCGTTTGGCGCTAAATGATTTTGATTATAAAGTGTTCTACAAAGTATTCTGCATGCTACCTCATGCCTAGTAATTTGTAACAATACATCATGCATTTTAATATTTAAACTTTATTGCTATTTTGCTTACTGTTGATATACAAATAGTTAAATGGTACAATTGATTAAAGATGCCTCAATAGTTTTCTCTTTTTAGGTCTGAAAATTTTCATTTCAGACCAAAGATTCAAGAACACATCTGTAAAAATATGTATATTTCCTTGCAATGTAAAAGCACTGTTCAGCAGTTTTTGTCTTCGTTATGGATAATATTGCTTATTTTGAATTTGGAAATTTAATTCCATAATACTTACAACATTTTTAAATCACTGATTAAAAATACAGGGGTTGGACAAAAATATGGAAACACCTTTAAAAGAACATGTTTCTTTGCTTAATATGGTGTAGGAAACCCGTTGGCATCCAAAACAGCTTGCAGTCTTCTCGGAATGGATAAATACAGTTCCTGTATGTTTGCCAAGGGAATATTATACCATTCTTCCTGCAAAACGGTGGCAAGTTCAGATAACGATGTTGGCGGTGGATAACGAGAACGCACTTTCCGTTCCAATGTAGACCACAAAGGTTCGATAATATTCAGGTCTGGTGACTGTGGTGGCCAGGGAGATGGGGACAACTCATCCTCGTGCTCAGAAAACCAGTCCTGGACAATGTGAGCTGTGTGAACAGGGGCTTTGTCATCTTGGAAGACACCATCACCATCGGGGAACAAAGTTTGTACCATGGGATGAACTTGATCGGCCAAAATGTTCACATAAGTCTTGGCAGTCATGTGCCCTGACACAGTTATCATGGGGCTAGCAGAGAACCACGATATGGCTGCCCAAACCATAACAGAACCCCCGCCATGTTTCACTCTTGGCAACAAGCAGTCTGTATTATAGGCTTGAGATGGCGTTCTCCAGACGTAAACTTGGCCAGAAGTGGGAAACAATGTGAAAGAAGACTCGTCAGACCATATTACTCTTTTCCACTGCTCTATAGTCCAGGCTTTATGACTTAAACACCACCTTTTCCTGTTACGGGCATTAGCATCACTGATGAGTGGCTTCTCAATTGCAGCACGGCGAGCAATTCCCTGTTTATGAAGCTCCTTTCTAATTGTTTTGATACTCATAGGGTTCGGTAACACAACATTCATTTCAGCAATAATTTTTGCAGCTGTGGTCTTCTTATTTTTTGTCACAATTGCCCTTAATGATCGTCTGTCACGATCACTCAGGACACACTTTCGTCCGCGCTGTGATTTAGCAGATGATGTTTTTCCGCCTTCAAATATGGGGAATAAATCTTCGATACAGTACCTCTTGAAACACTAAACACCTCAGCTACTTTGCTTACGGAAGCACCTACCATACGTGCTCCAACAATTTGCCCACGTTCGAAGTCTGTTAACTCTGACATAATGCAATGACAACCTCACATAACAGTACTCCGACAACAACTGAACTGTTTAGCACATTTACGAAGTTGTATAGGTGGCGTCAGTAGTCAAACGCCAGCGCCACCTACATATTTCATTAAAATCAATCTTTCTTTTCAAACATGCATTTCACAAGGTGTTTCCATATTTTTGTCCATCCACTGTATTTCTCTTTGGAAATAACAAAATATAACTATTAAATTTGCTTCAAATATAATTACCATTTTCTAAACGAAAATATATAACTATATCAGACAATAGCTATGACTCATGACTCAAAATAAGTTAGTGCAAAACAATTCTTTTTTTCTGGCGTATTTTAAACTTCTTTACCTTTTTCATCAAAGTCATCCTAAAAATATGACAACAGCCTCTGCATATTTCACAAACTTCATTGCATTTATTAAAAAAAATAACATAAATAAATACCTTTCAACATACTCAATAAATTAACTAAGTATTGATTCTGTTTTTAACTTTTTAACATATATAGATTTTCTAGTGAAAAGCTTTTCAATTACAAATTTCCACACAATTATAAACATTTTAACTATAATTTTTATTGACATAAATGATTAAATACAGATGAAAATATTTCTTATTAAATATGCAATGCTAAAATATAAAATTACCATATACATTCAGTTACAAAATTAACACATAAACCAATATTAGGTTATGCACTAATTTTACACAAATAAAGATGAATAATTATATATATATGAAATATATTTAAATGACTTGATTTGCTTATATATTTTACAATGGCATATTGTTTAATTTAACTGATACAGTATTAAGATGGTTTGAAATAGCATACTCATAGATTTGTTTTTCCTGTATTATATCACTATACAGAATAAATAAATGGTTTTACTTATTCTGCACATATTTTATAGTTATGGTCAATACAGTTTTCATTATTCACTAAAAATACTTGTTGTGGGGGGAAAAACAGTAATAATCACATATTTAAGAAGATTGGCAGCTTGTTCTGCTAAAAAAATGACATGCTTTGGAATACTCGCAGTAGAATTTTTAAGAAAACTAAATTTGCATACTTTTTAAATTATTTATCAGTATAGAAAAAAAAAAAAATTTTGATTTTTTAATTTATCACATCACAAATGAAAATAATATGATTCAAGTGTGCTAATAATAAATCACATTTTTACTGATATAAAGTAAAAAGATTTGATAAATTATGATATTAATTATTTTCACTTAAAATGCACAATTTCACAATCTACACTATATGGACTAGATTTACACAGAATATTACAGCTATCTGACAGTTAAAATTTACTCATATTGATTGTAAAGCTTAAAATAGAGCAATCTAAGTTGAAAGAATAATTTATCAAGCCTGAATTTTCAGCCTTTGAACTTGAAATAAAAGTAAATTAGATCAAAGAAAAATGACAATACAAACTTCCAAAGGTCATGAACTTGAACAGCATTTGTTCTTTGAGTTCAAAATAGTATTGCTATTTACAGGAGTAAAATTTTCATTTTGTTGTTGTAAATGCAAATTACCATTGCATCGCTTCATAAGTTCTAAAGCTAATGTAACAAAAGCTTTTTCAACATTTGTATCTTCTCGTGCACTAGTTTCTAGCACAGCTACAAGTTGTGGAATTTGTTCTTTCAAAGATAAAGCTTCTTCAAAAGGCACTTCACGTTCTGCTTCTAGATCACATTTATTACCTAAAAATGAAAGAAAAAAAAAAGTACCAAAGTCTATGTCATGTTCAGTACCTACCAATAAACATTATACAGTCAAAAGTCTTTAATCCGGAATCGTCGGGACTTCGGCGATTCCAGATTATAGATCATCAGTTTAAATCTGGTAAGATGGCAAGCAGAAATTATAAAATTAAAAATATGAAACCGTAATTTATGAAATAAAGAGCAATAATGATCTAAAACAGGGATGTCAAACTCATAGGTACACTTGGGCCAAACAAACAAGGTTTAACTTTAGGCGGGCCGAAAAAAAAAAAAAAGTCAATATTCATAGAAACGTAGATTTATTTTGAATAATACAATAATAAACATATAAATATATTTATATAGAAAAGAACAAGAAAAATTTAATGTTTACGTCCTGATACTTGACATCTCTTCTCTGCTATTATCTTTCATATTTCGGGAGAAATTTTGTTTGCAGTGATAACTTTCAATGCTGACCCAAGGTGAGCATCATTAATACGGTTTCTAATAGGAGACTTATTACCTTTCATGACTGAAAATAACTGCTCGCACCGATAAGTGCTACCAAACAAGGAAATAATTTCATATGCGAATTTTCGAGTATTTTCAAACCTGGCTGGTAAATATTTGTAAAATTTAGGCATGCCCACTTCAATGAATTTTGCTTTCAAATTTGAGTTGCATTGAATTTCGATCACCTCAATTTGCATATGGCTGGGTACTGAGTCAATACTTATTGAGAAAATCAAAGAAAACAAAAAAAAATTGTCTTCAAGGGAACTAAAATCATTAAACCTCGTTTCAAATTCAGTTGTTAAATTTGCAATTTTTTCTGCGTAATTTTGATACGAACAAGTATAATCTAAACTTGATTTGTTCATGCTGGACGTCGGGAAGTGCATCAAATCTTCATTTTTAAGTTGTTTTTCCCAAAGAACTAGTTGACATTTGAATGCTTTAATTATGTCAAACATGTTCGTAATGACATGATCTTTTCCTTGTAACGATAAATTTAAATCGGTTAAGTGTTTGGTTATATCAACCAAGAAAGATAAATCTTGTATCCATATTGGATCGTAAAACAAACTTGCGTCTTGATTTTTCGTTTTTAAAAACTGACATGTTTCTTCTTTCAAATCCCAGAATTGTTTGGGAATCTTGGAGCAAGATAACCAACGTACCTCGGCATAGTAGGACAAACCCGAATATTCACTATCTAACTCACTTAAGAAAGCAGTGAATTGACGCTGATTTAAACCTAGAGATCTTATAAAATTTATAACTTTTTTTATATATGACAAAACATTCTCCATATTTATAACTTTCGTGCATAGAACTTCTATATGTATAATACAATGCATATGATGAATGTTTGAACCGTGAATTTCACTAAGTTTTTTTCTTAGTAATGCTACGAAGACCTTGTTTTTCCCGGTCATTGATGGAGCGCCATCTGTAGCTACAGAATTTAATTTTGCCAAAGGTAGATTGTATTTCTGCAGAAGTCCAAAAACACAAGTAAATATATCTTCTCCTGTAGTAGCACCAGGCATCGGTATTAGTTCCAGTAATTCCTCAAAAATGTTAAAATTCTTGTCACAAGAACGAAGAAACACTGCTAATTGAGCTTTGCCACTAATGTCCGTGCTCTCGTCACAGGCAATGGAGAAACTTTCGAAACTAGATGATTTTGCTTTGATCTGATCACTTAAATTCGCGGCTAAATCAGTAACTCTTTCCGCAACTGTATTTCGAGACAATGAAATTGATTGAAAAGCCTTCACATTTCCAGGACAAACAATTTCTAAAGCTTTCATTAGGCATTCCTTGATGAAATCACCATCAGTAAAAGGCTTCGAATGTTTAGCTATCAACTCGGACAAGACGTAGCTTGCATGTACCGCCGCTTCACTTTCTTGCAATACTTTACTAAACATGGACTGTTGCTTTTTCACTCCTAACTTGAGCTCTTTCAACTTTTCTTCTCTCATTAATCCTTTGTAATTGTTATATTTCGATTTGTGTTGTTTGTAATGATGTTTAATATTATATAACTTTGGTACATTAATAGTATTATTACATATCAAGCAGATTATTTTATCTTTTATTTCACAGCAAAAATATTCTAATTCCCATTTTACTTGGAATATTCTATGTTTGTCAGCGATTTTTCGTTTAATTTTACTACCACTTGGTTTTGATATAGACAATCTGAATAGAAAGGGCTGGAATAAACACGGTTAACATTAAAAAGTTAACAAAAATTTATTCTTTCCACAAGAGATAAATCAAAATGCTGAAATATTTCTTCAAAAATATTCTAACAATATCACAAAATGTCAAACGTTTAGCAAAAATCAATTCAAAACAGAGAAACTAATTCTATCTCACGGCGAAATCGCTACAAATCAATCACAGCATTAAGTAAACAAACAGTTTGCTAGAACTACAGCTACTACTGAGATGAGTTGTTTGTTCTCGGCTTTTATAAGCTTTATAATTAATTTCTCGAATATACTGGAAACATCTATAAATATCTGGATTTTTGTGGATGGCAACAGCAATTACGAGATATTTATTTATTTATTTATTAGGTATTAAATGCACGCGCTGTTCTATTTTTAACCTTCCAACGCAGCTGTCTTTTCAAAAATCGTCTGCGTTGCTAAGGCAACATGAAGCAAATCTAATTACAATTCTAAATAAAAAAAACTAAATAAACAAATAACTATGAAATCCGTAACAATATGAATTAAGTAATAATTAATAATAAAGCAAAGTGCATGCACATGCATGCACCAATATATCGTACAAAACTATGATTGGAAAACTGAGACCAAGAGTTCGACCACATTCGACTATCGGGGGATGCGTACAAGCTCTGAGTGCACGTGTTCCCCAAAAGCCGAAGGTAGCTGAACGCAAGCTACTCGCACGCATTTGTAATTTAAGTAGTGTGTGTGTCAGCTTGCTGTGAGTAATCTAACAACACTGAATAAATTATCGTCAATTACTTAGCAGTAAACATTTCATTTTTTTCTTCGTCGATATGTTATTTTATTATTATTATTATTATTTGCCGATATATTCGCCGGGCCGCAAAAATATTTGTTGTGGGCTGCGAGTTTGACATCCTTGATCTAAAGGGTATCAAAATTTACAAAAAAAAAAAAAAGCTTAATATTTATTTGTTTACTTTATTAAACATTTCATTCAACGCGCCCATGCATAAAGCATACATTACGCATAGTCGGGTGAATCTTTACATTATGGTAACTTGGCGATAATTTGGCGACCAACCCTGCTACAGCAACCCGCTAGTTTTGTTTTGGACGCCATTTTGTTTTCACAAAGTAAAGGCATGGCTTTTTTTTTATATTTTTTTTTTTACTCAACATTTTTTCCAACAATCTGCTAGCCGAATTACGCTTATACTAGAACTTTTATGGAACAAAAATACTTAATCATAATGAAGATTAGGTGCGAAATTGGGAGAAAGTGCAGAATCACAAACTGCTTGCCGTGTTTTTAAGAATTGCACATACACGGTATCCATGTACACGTCCACCTATTTTAACTTAAAAAAACATTTCAGAATTGCACAAAAATGGCATTGCGCACACTCGACTTTATCTATGTACACATCAATCTATTTTAACTTAAAAAGTCAAAGAAAATTGACAAAAATCCAATTCTTCTTACTCTTGTAAAAAGTATCAAACAAATAAGTGGGCGATTCTGCACTTTAGCAGCGAAATTGTTTCTAAGTGCTTATTAGCTAAAATCACGATCGGAATTTTCCGGAAAATGTCACATTACATGTCTAATGATCTCTTATTTCTCTGAGACAAAATAATCTGTGATTCGAACTGTGTACGCCTCAGATTATTGCTAAAGTCCTAGCTAGTAACCTATATTGCCTTACAAAAATGTCGCCAAACTACCTGTTACCATATTCTACAGATTAGGCCCTAGTCGGAATTAGAAAATTGCAACCAGAAAACTACCGTAATTTCCGGAAGAAAGGCCGCATCAGCGTAAACGCCGCACTCGAGAGAAATGGTGGGAAAAAAATTAAAATTACACAGAAACGCCTCAATAAATTAAATTGCGCATGACATCGTCGTGGGCCGTATAGATGTAAAAACTCAACCTAAGTCCTGATATATGACATACCAGTTAAGAAAAATGCATGAAATGAAACCATAATTCAAAAATAAATTAAAGGTAAGAAATGTATAGCTTCTGTGCCGTTTAGAGACATTTTCAAAAATTTTCCGCTCCCTAATTAAAAACTATCCAACAAGTACTTGTACTCTAACTGATGGGATCTGTATTTTGCAGAATGCCAAGAAAAATCCATTCATGCTGAAGGGGAAATACGTCAGAGTTCGTTATTGCAAGGCAGGTGGAGTCGTGTCCACCTTTGAATAAAATTGCAGAAAAGGCAGGGGTGGAAAGAGGATGGGTTCTGGAAGATTCATCGAATGGCAGAGGAGAGAGACTATTCAAACTGATGAGAATGTTGATTTGAAAGGGGGAAGAATATTATTGTTCTGAGATCTTGTTTAGGGTGAATAAGGCATGTAGGCCCGTTCAAGGGAAAGAACGTAAACAAAATAACATTCGCAAAAAGCAACTGAGTGGTCTTTTGTGTGGGAACAGCACCAATCTATGCACAAATGACAAGGCCATCCAAACTATGTACAATGACCATCATAGGAAATATTTTATTTTTAGTGCACCTAAACGCCGCATGTGTAGAAATGCCGCACCCGCTGAAAATTTAAGTTTTAAACATGTAAACAACGCGGCGTTTCTTCCGGAAATTACGGTATTTGATATGTATTCGTGATATTTATAATGAATTTGATTTAAATCATATAAAAGCCATAGTACATCTAGATGAAATACTACATTTAGTAATGAACTATAAGCTGAATAAAATAAAACCATCTGCCCTGAAGATAAAGATAGTGCTGACAGATCAACTT